AACAAAAAAATATGCATCTCTTCCAAAGATTAATCAGCTGGTTCCGTGCTATAAATCAGAGCCAAAAGAAGAGCTGATGAGCGAAGGTGCTACGCCTCTTTAGTCCACAATGTTTTTACTGACATCACAAATGTAATAAACGCAGTTTAAATAAACTCTGAAATGGGAGAAAGTAATACACTCTTTGTTTCTTAATTGAGTGCAGCTAGTTGAAAGTGAAAACATTAAAACGTTTTTATTCTATCAGGTTTCTTTCAATTAAGAAACAAAAAGCATTTAAAGGAGGGTGATGGGAGAAGAAAACGGGATTCTCTCACTCCAACCACACATGGGATCAAGTAATTGTTGTGAGTGAGAGAGCCTAGAATCGTCCTTTTATCTGATCTTTTTTCACCTTCTTAGACCAAGGGAAACAGCTAGTGGTAAAAAGAAAGCTCTTATTGGGTGACCTGCTTAATAAGCATGTCCAGGAATTTTGGACAGCGAAAGAGACCAATCCTTTCCTCCGACTAACACCCTGCTGCTCAACCACTGGGATTTGGGAAGTCCAACCTGCCTCAGGACTATGAGCTTATCCAGCTCTCATCATGGCATCTGCTCCACACAGGGGACATCCCTTCTCTGCCCCCAAACCATTTTTTTTAAAAGAGCCTTGTCCTACTGCTGCCTGATTCAAAGCTCAGTGTATATGATTAGGAGTCCCCCAAAACGCTTAAGGGATGCCCAAGAGATGGGGCCTGTGGGGTGTCCAAGAAAGCATTCCCAACATTTGACTGCCACAGTTCCTAAGTCCCTGGTCAAGACTTCTTTAAGGTCTCCCGGCTCAGTTTTCAGGAAACCTGGAAGGTACGGCTGTGCCTTTGAGAATAAGCAGGACAACGTTCACTCTCCACCGAGCTGTAGCCTGAGATGCAACGCCTTGCCTGGCTCACTTGGGCAGAGTCTCCTCGACAAAACAGGAACTCTGGACTCTTCCCCATAAGGGGAATTAATTGTGAGAGCCAGGAACGACAAACAACTGTTAAACAAAAAGCAGTTGTTCGACAGCACCGGAGCCAAGTGTCGTTTGTTAAAAGGCGGCAACAGTTAAAAGGCGGCAACAGCCCCTGCTGCCTTGTTTTCCCTCCCTGGCAGAGTGGAATGAAATGCACTGAGCAACTTGGCTCACACCAAGCAACAAGCCACGGCCGCTCACGAGCCAGAGACGGCTTGTGTTGCGTGAGCGAGGGCCAGTGGGGAGCAGACCTGCTGCTGGGTTCAGACAACCACCCCAGCTTCTAAGCCACCCTGCCCTTTTGTGCTACGTGACCCCAGCCAGCCACCGGGTGCAGTGGCAGAGAAAGGGGCCGAGTTCACCCAATACGGACGCAGACTGTTCTGTCTCGGCTCCCGCTAACCACGTCTCTTCCTGCCATTGCAGTGCTTTGGCACGGAAACAGATAAGGGCGCACACAACAGCCGGGGCAAATGCAAGCAGTGGGATGCCATCAGTCAAGAATCACATCCCCCCAGAGGACCTCAAGGATTCAGGGAAAGGCGTGCGGCCGGCTGGCCGGCCACTGCTGTGGGGCACATGTGTTACCTACGCAGGCCTGGTGTGGCACAGCATAATTTCCTCCACCTTTTATGGTTCTGATAAGTATCTGGAGGGCAATACTTTATGCTGAGAACTCAGTCAGGGCCCCCCTACAACGAACAGCCGCATGCGTTTGGGGATGCACACTAGGTGTGCGTAACAGGTAGACCCTAGATAACGGCACTGGCAATATTCCATGACAATATAGCAAGCTCCCCTCAAGCTAGAAAGATTTACAGTTGTCTTTATGGTATTCTTTTTAATTCTGTTTCTCCCCAGGATAATTTCCTTTCATTACACAAACACACAAACATTCTGTGGGATATCGTGTTGCTTTCTGTTGCTAATAGTGTTCTTTTCTAAGTTGTCCTAAGTTTTTTTTTCAAAAACCAAGCATTAATGGATCTTGGAAGGAGGGCTCTGTCCTCTCCTTTGACATTTCATTCTATGCAAAACACTGACTCACATTTCAAAAACAGAAGAAGAATTGCGCATCAACTTGCATGCTGAAACAGCACCCCAAATTATAACAACATAGCTTTAGTTACAAAAACAAACTCAAATAGAACTGGTTTTAAAGGGAGAACAAGCAGGAGCAGGGCAAAACAAAACAAAACAGCATTATTCAATGAGAGATGGCTATCTACATGCGCTGTGGAAACCGAAACCTCAATTTCAATTTCTAACCACTGAAGAAGAAGATGTAAATGCTACAATATTCGCAGTAGGTTGTTGATTTGCACCTGTTTTGACTTTGACCCCATGCATAAAGTCTGCAAAATAAAAGGGCTTGCTTATTATTCGGAGGAACAGAGCCATCCCACACTAGAGAAGAAAAATACTTTTAAAGTGTCTAGGGATGTATGGCAAATGTATAGGTGGATTATAAAACTGAGGCAGAGTCTCTGAATGCTCCTATGTCTAATTCTTAAAAGAGACTACTCTGGAACCAAGGCTCACAAATACGGCACTGATTTGCAAGCAGGCCATGCAGGACGGCTCGCGGTGCGACTGACTATGGTTGGCAGCTGCCATATTTCTGGCCCACATTTTGTTTGGTTTGTTCTGCTGTCCTGATGCAAAAATGCTTGAAAGTGTGCCTGTTTGGATTCAGAAGAGGAAAAATCACTCTCTGTTGGGCTTGGGAGGACAGACGGAGGTACCAGGGTTTCTGTGGATCATCAGTAATGGAAAACCAGTTACTACTTAGAGCTATAAAACCTACTGAGATTATCAGCCTACTGAAGAAGTTTCAGGGCAAAAAGGTCAGGGTTCAATCTACTTCCTCTTGTGAAAACAGAGTGAAAATGTTTGCACCCCTCTTGCGATATAGCTGACAATTCCCAGGCCAATGTTATTTTTGGCAAGCAGGTCAGCTGTAAAATCCCCTTACAGTATAGGAAGCCAAAGACAACTCTTCGCAGTCTGTGCATTGGCTTCTCTTGAGAGCAGGTCCCACCCACCATGTCCCTCTTCAGCAGAGTTAGGTGAGACCTGAGAAGCCCAGTGCTTTGATTTGAGCATAACAGCATAAATCAAAGCCATGTTCTCTTTGAGAAGCACCTGCCCCACATGGAGAGCTCAGTTCCCTCCCTTTCAGAGAGCTGTTGAAAGCACCCTCAGGGCAGGCTTGTCAGCCAGCCGGTGGGAATGTCGGGCATTTCTAAACCGGCTGGTGCCAATTCCTGGGCCTGCTTACAGGGTCCAGGAACTCCCCTCCAGCCTCCGCCTCCACCTCTTCTGACACATGTTCCTCCTTTTCCAAGGCGAGCTGGTTTCCATGCTCTGCCTGAGTAGCTTCAGCAAGTAATGCTGAAACTGCCCTTCGCCAGCCCTGCCGACCTCCACCTCCACCTGAGCAGACTGTTAAGGTGTGAAAATTGGGCCTGCTCTTTCCAGTTTCTAGGGGAAGGGCTGGGTCGGGAGAAGGGCAAAATATACCTGCAGTGTCTCTCTGATGGCAGGGGTTCTAACCAAAGTTCATTGGCACTATTGCATTCTAATGCCTGTGCAAGAACTTATGATAATCGCAACTTTTCATCTGATCTCTTTAACCCAAATGGCTTATTATTACTATTAATATTTATTTATTTAAAAACTGGGTCTCTCACAATGATGATGATGATGACGAATACAGTCCCCATGCAGACTCACAATCTAAAAGGCCGTGACATGCAGAAAAAAAGAGAACGAGTTGACAGTGGTAGAGGAAAACATTCAGCAGGCACTTGGGGGGGGGGGGGGGGCATGGAATGACTCTGCTTCCCCTCTCGTCTCCAGCTATACATCCTGATGCACAGGCTGCTCCTGATGACACTTGGGAAGGGAAATGTTCGTCGAGGTGAACTCTGGCACCTAATTAGTGCATTAGTTTGTTATTTCGATCAACAAACTCATACATTAGCAACAAAGACCTACCGACTACTATCCAATGCCAAATTTCAACTGCACTACACATTAGGATAAACATGCACTTTCTTGTATAAAGATTCCAAGCTGCAATGTGTGGCCCAGCCTAAAATAGAACACCAGATGGCCTTGACACCAGCTCTGAAGGCACCGATGTTCTATTAATGCCTGCACCTGCTATTCTGAAGGCCTTTCGCATTCAAGCTATATATGCACTACTCAGTCAAAGTGTCCCACAAGCCCTGTTTCAAATGCTACATTACAATCTCATGACATTGTGCAAAGCAGACGTGGGGCGCTATGCTGGAAAAACGCATACCGGGTAATTGAGATGCCTCCGATACTCAAGGGAGGTGTAGCAGTTTTACATCTTTTGGGGGCCTCTTAGAAGAGGAAATGGATTTCAAGCAGGAAATACGAAATGTGTGTCCTGATCAGGCCTGCTAAATTTCATTCCGCTATCTCACTGTTCAGGTAAGATAATGTGCAGTAAATCAACAAGTGAACAGAATACCAAGTAGGCAAACCTCACCCAAAAGCCTCGCTTCACTTGGCCAATTACAGCGGACTATTCTACTCATAAATATCCTGGAGCCCAGACAGGAAGGGTGGCAGAAGATCTCTACAGAGGGAGATCAACAAAAAGCAGGCAGCTAAACTCTCCTGCCTTCCCATCCAAACAGGATCCACAGTACATCTGCCGCTCTTCCTATTTAATCAGAATGAATTTCCTATAGAACATCGTAAGAGAAAAAGTAATAGTAACTGTTGTCCAGGTGAAGTTTGGGAATCAGTAAAGGACAAGGGAACTAAAGTCCATGGAGTTGGGAAGACTCCAGCGTGGCTTTGCGACTGAACTCTGTGTCTACATAAATCACACCCATGGATGCTCGGCCTGGTCGATCCCCCCTGTGTTAGATGGCACAGATCAATTCATTTTCATTCCGGAAAAAGCTGGAGTCGAAATGTATGCCATTTTGTCAATGATGGATCTGTTGTGTCTGCTTTCAACTAGGTCCTTGGAGAGACTGCCTACAAGCCTTAGAAGATGGCCATGATACCAGCTCCATATACCTTGTGAAACCTGAAAATACAAACCGATTACTGCAGGTCTGGTGTGATCAACGCCATGATCCTGGTGGCTGGACAGTAATTCAGAGACGACTGGATGGGTCTGTCAACTTTTTCAGGAACTGGGAGACGTATAAGGTGAGGACAGATATGAGAGTTTCATTCAAAGAAACATCCTTGCCAGTCACATCTTCCAAGCAAGGATTTGCTATAAACATTTAGGGCACATGGTGATGTCCCTGAAGGGAGCGTGATACAATCATCTTAGAAGAAATCAGGATAAGGAAGTTAAAACAGGACTAGACAGCTTGCAGCTGTCCTAAGGTGTTGATCCGAGTTTCTATCAGCCCTGAGGGTTAACAGGAGTCCAAGGCCAAAACAGTTGAAGGCCAAAGCTAAATAGTCACTGTCACCAGAGGTAGCAAAGCACAGTCCCTCTCCCTGCTGGGAATGAAAGGGGCAGTTGTTCCAAGGTCAGACAGATCTGGCCGCATCAGATGAGGAGGGTCTTGGGAACCGGCATCCTCCGACACGGATGTGGGAGAAGCAGAGGGGCTTGTCTCAAGGCCACCCCGCAGGTGTTCAGCAGGATTCTGAGAAGAGCCAGGTTCTACAGCTGCGCAGGAGAAGAACTCCTGCAGCCAGCTGAGCCTGGTACAACTCTTGAGCCCAGGATGAGGCAGCGGGACAAACAGGCCGGCCAGCCAGCGGGGCGGTGGACAGAGAAGAGGCTTGCCTGCCTCCAGAAGGCCCTCCAGGAGGGAAGTAGCCCGGGGTGCTCAAAAAGAGGTTTCTTGGAAGTAGTTGCTAGACTGGGTTCAATGAACCACTCTGTGCCTGCTCAGAGACTCTGTCTGTGGAGGCAGTGCTTACCGGATGCCCCGTAGAGAAGAAAGAGTTTTTGCAAAGAAAAGGCCTGTAGCTCTGTACGTGTGGAGGGGGGAACCTAGCTCCTGACACTCCCCCACAGACCTCTTAAACATTTAGCTAGGGTTGGCCTTTGCCAGCAATCTCCCAGGTGTCCAAAAGTTAGAATGTTGGGAGGCTTGGTATGCCTGGGACCTCAAACCAACACTTAGATGGGGAAGAGCTATTTAGGATTTGGACAAATAAGTAAACATGCAGGTTGAAGTCCAGGCTATGTTTAAGTGCAGAAAGGAAGAAAGAACAGATGATTGTCGAAATTGGAAAAGGATAATGGAATTAGAAAGAAGCTGAAGGAGACTGCTAGTATAACAGGAAGGCCAGAAGGAGCTAAGCAAACGCTTTTCCAGAGACTGAGTGCTTGTGCGCTGCCTGATTTTTATGCAAGAGGAGAGAGAGGAGGTCCCAACTTCTCTATAGTTTTCTCTCTGCTGAAGCGTGCAGGTGATCAACACATTCTGGGGAAGCTTCTCCTTTGTTCCTGGCAAAGGTTTTATAGAAAAAGCGCAAGGATAAATGCCTGAGGGCTGGAAGAGACTGTTTCAAACAAGACAAGGTGCAATTCGAAGTGTACTCTAGTAAATCGTGTGGTTTCCTCCCACCGCACTACAGTAGGGCAAAAACTAACACCGGATGTACGAGTCAGAAGCTCGGAGCGCCACGTGTGGGACCAGTGCCGTGGCACCATCCTTCTCAGACCGCATCCTCCCCTCTGAATGGGTGAAACGAACTACTGCAATGGCCTCAAACAAGTCGCTCCAAAACACATACACTGCCAGAACAACATGGGGAGAACACAGAGAGAAGACATTCCCACGCTAAAAAAAGTAAAATGTGAACTGAGCTTAAATCTTTGTGGACGAAAAACAAATCAAGTGCTTTTTAAACTGCTTTTTAAACTGTCCACATGAGACACAATGGCCCATAAATTCAAACCCATCCACAAGAAGTCAGGCGCTTAATAATTTTCTCAGCTTCCTTTGGAAAATAACACTTTTTCTAACAAACAGCTAAGAGTCAGGAAGTGGACGAAGCCAATGATGAACTTACAATTATATTTTCAGAAATCACTGTGTGACTCAGGTTGTATCAAATGAAATTACGGAACGCTAAGTGAAAGCCAAACATCTTTGCCACAGCTTAAGAAACTGCATGAGTGTTACATAAAATTGCTCTTGAGTGCTAACGTACTTTTCTTTTCCTCTCTCTTTACAGCAAGGGTTCGGTAACATTGATGGAGAGTACTGGCTGGGCTTAGAAAATATTTACTGGCTGACCAATCAAGGCAACTACAAACTGCTGATAACCATGGAAGATTGGTCGGGCCGGAAAGTGTTTGCTGAATATGCTAGTTTCCGAATAGAGGCAGAATCCGAGTACTACAAGTTGCGACTGGGCCGATACAACGGCAATGCCGGAGACTCCTTTACGTGGCACAACGGGAAGCAATTCACTACCCTGGACAGAGACCATGATGTGTACACAGGTATAAAAAGTAGCAATGAATTCTAGGAGGGAGCATTGTCAAAGTGCAGCTACAGAAAGCAGGGTTCTCAGGCAACTTCAACAATACTTGCCTGGAGTTCCCCTCTCACAAACACCACATCTGACTTGCTTCCATCTTTCTAAAAGCAGCAAATCAGGTGGGAAAGAGCTAGGAAAAACTGGCAACAAACAGAAACCAGTCATTAAAGAAAGATATGAGAAAAGTAGTCAAGCAGGAGTAGCCTGGAGACCCACTGCCCAAGCTGCCCTTAGGCATCTGATGCCCAAACTGTGAATTTTCCAGAAGCCTTGCTAAGTTCCAAAAGCCAATCAGAATGTGACTGGCCAAAGTCCAGCTGATGGGGTGGTTAGTCCACCCCGGCCTTCAGCAATCAAGGTGAGAGTCACTAGAAAACTCCTGAATTGTAGTAATTCCTTTCAAGGATTTTTCAGAGGTAACAAGCATATATGAGGTCCGGCTGTCAGGGATTCCCGATGGGGAGGGCATGAGGCGAGTGCCCAGCACCCCAGATCCAGTTTCCAACAATTATCCCTTGTCATGCTGCTGTTCCCTTAAGAGTCTATAAAGCTACGATCTTTTGTCTCCTGCGAAGGCTATTAGAAACTGCCCAGCTGTATATTCAGGAAAGTCTGGCACAGAAGCTACACCCTCCAACTGAGGTCGGGTGCTTCTGCCCTGCTCACTTTGCTAACCAGCGATGCCTCTGGAGCACCTTCTCCTGCAGAGACTCCTTCCTGGTGTCAGGGATGATGTCCCTGATGGATAAGCAGGCACTTCTGTCCAGGTGGAGTCCTCCAGCGGATGAGGATTAGCAGTATCCTCCACCTCCACCATTCCCTGTTGATCAGGCTGTGGGAGGTCGGGCAGAACTGAATTGTATGGATACCCACAGCTGGATTGGACTCTACCACTTCCTCCAAGGAGCCTGCGTCCGAGGCAGAAGCCTAGCCCGGCCTGGGCTATACTTGAAGCAGTCAGGGGCAGAGAAATCCAGTCAGGCAGGGCATTTGTATTAAGGAATAGTTAAGTACCAGCTATTATTTGCCGTTTCCCAAACCTGCCTCTTTCAAGCTCTCTGACAGTTCCAGGGCACTTGGGAATGGGGGGGGGGGGTTTGAAGGGAGGCAGAGGGACCAAGAAGCTTGACAGTCAGGACCCCGAGGGTGTAGAATGGGCTTCCACGAGAGGTGGTTGAGGCCCCATCGGTGCGGGTGTTCAAGGATAGGCTGGGCGTCCACATGGAGGGCATGTCGTGAGCGGAGCCGGCTGGTGCTGGAGGTCAGACTAGATGGCCCGGGAGGCCCCTTCTGACTCGTTCTGCTTCTCTGTTTCTATGGGAAAGCAGCACTGCTTCAGTCAGGGAGTATTATACACTATGTGATGCCCTTGTTTTTATTGCAGGTAACTGTGCTCATTATCAGAAGGGAGGCTGGTGGTACAATGCATGTGCGCACTCGAATCTCAACGGAGTTTGGTACCGAGGGGGACACTACCGAAGTCGCTACCAAGATGGCGTCTACTGGGCTGAATTCCGGGGGGGCTCTTATTCACTGAAGAAAGTTGTCATGATGATCAGACCCAATCCCAATACATTCCACTGAAATGTGCTTCTCATCAGACAGAAGAGAAAGACTCCGACAGCTGTGTGTGCTATCCAGAACACATCTTTTCAGCAGTGAAGAATGTAATATGTTGTACATTGACTGTTATTCATCCATGGACTTGTATATTGTATTTTTCAAGAATGGTTCCAGAACCAAAATGAGAAGAAGCATTTCAAAACACAGCTTAGTACCAAACTAATTTGTTCTCAAAAAACAAAATGAAACAAACGAACAGACAAACGAAACCATTTGTCAGATAAAATAGACTGTAGATAAACTGAGTTGCTAAGAATACTGCCACATCAAGTGATTATTTTTGTATATTATATATATTCTTAAGTACTGAACATATTCGAAACTGTACAGCAAGACTTTTTTTATAATAAATTCATTTGACACAGGAAATTATATCCTTTCAAAATATGTAACTAATGGAGGTACCTTAAACTGTTAAGAGTGACTGTTCTTAATTTAATCTTTGTTCACAGTCGAGAAGGCTTAGAGTCTACACAGTGCTAGCACCAACAGAGCCTCCTGTTTCCCAGAGCAAAAGGCATTATTATAGCTTGACAATAAATCTTTTCATATAGGACACAACGAGTCCAGGATGGTCTCTCCTCTGCAACTTGGAACAGACCAGGCATTTTCTAGAAAATGAACAAAAGCAGGTATTTTTATAATAATAATTAAAAAGCCGTTTCAGTAGGTTTCAGCTGAATTCCCGCATAGTTTAGAAGCAATCTAAATTTTACTTCTTCACTACATACAGGTTTCAAGCTATTTTTGTACCTGAACAGTTCTTACCTGCTCTGTAGGCATTGACACAACAAAGAGAGCTATCCAACTTTGCAGGCAAATGATGGATACAGATATAGAAACTATTTAAATACCCTTAGCCACTATATTATAACCGTTGGGAAAGACTATTTGAAACCCAGAATTATTTTTGCCATATTTCATGATTATTGCCAAATATACACATTAAAATCGTGCAAATATATTTAAAATCAAGTCCACTGTAGAAACTTGAAATCCTAAATTCTAGTACTCTGCTGAGGTAAGCTTCCAGAATAGTTTATTTGAGCACATGTTTCATTATCAGAACCGTGAAAACCATACATTTCAAAACTTTTATTACCTCGTTATTTCTCTCCTAACGTATGATGTGCATCAAAAGTTTTGGAATCTGATGTAGCATGTCTTGTATATAAATGAAAGTAGGAATTTTAATATATTATTGGATTATCCTTGTAATGATGCAAATATGTAATAAAAGCAAGATATTGTATTATATCCCTATATTATCATCATTTGTATATAAAGCACCTTAAAGCCAGGTTGAATAAAAGTAGCTTTGGGAAAAGTCTGAATAGAACAGTGTGGGAGCTAAGTGGCAATGGACCCCAACACCGGGAACTTCAGTAGGGTGGTCCCTCCTAGGAAGGGAGGTTCAAAAGTTGTGGATACAGATCCTGGTTCAAACTCAGTGGGACCAGCATCCGTGGCTGAAATGCCTAGACCTCTAGAGCCAGAAGTAAACCAGGCCATTTCAAAATCTGTGAGAATCTGATATGATCTGATATGGAAGTGTGGCAAGGATCAAATGCCATTGGTGCAAGGTTAAGAGGGTGGACCAGCTGAGAAGCATCAGAAACAACGAGCGATTAGGTCTGAAACAGGAGGGCCCACCTCGAAGGCATGAAGACCGTGGAAGTCAAAGCAGAACTATAAAGGATTAAAGTTAATCTACAACATTTACACCAGGAAAGGATGCAAGACCAGGTGCTTTGCTAGAATACAGCAGTGTCCAATAGCCTACAAGCTTTTTGCAACCACAAGATCCCAAAGGGCTGCAGCAACAGTAACGGACGGAATTCCTTTTCTTTCTCACAGGCAAATAGAGAAATATATGCTTACAAAGAACAGATTGTAAAATCATAGAATAGTAGAGTTGGAAAGGGCCAGAAACCCATTAACTCCCTGCTCAGCACAGGACAGCAAGTTAAACCATCTCTCAGATGGCAGTCCAGTTGCATCTTGAATGCCTCTGCTGTGGGAGAGCCCATGACCTCCCTTGGTCACTGGATCCGTTGTCATACTGCTCTAAAAATGTGTTCCTGCTATCCAGCCTGAATCCAGCTTCCTGTAACTTGAGCCTGTTATTCTGTGTCCTGCACTCTGGGCTGACTGAGGAGTGATCCTGACCTTCCTCTTTGTGACAGCCTTTCGAGCAGAATGCTATCATATCTCCCCTCAGTCTTCCCTTTTTGAGGCTAAACCTGGCCAGTTCTCTCCATGTCTCCTCAAAGGGCTCCGCTTCCAGGCCTTCTTGCCTTCCTCTGAACTCTTTCCAGCTTGCCTGCATCTTTCTTAAGCAGCAGTGCCCAGAACTGGCCGCAGGACTCCAGGTAAGGCCTAACCAGTGCTGAGTACAGGGGAACTCGTACTTCATGGGATTGGGAAGCAAGACTTCTTTTACAGATATACTCGATTGGGCTACGAGCTAAGCGCATCCTCCTGTAGATGCCAATGCACAAGCTGTTTACACAAGGTCTTGGGTAGAACCCCTGCAAAATGCCTGCCATAAGCGGAGAGTATAACTGCAGGAAGACAAAAACTTACTTTATGGTCAATCAAAAGACCCCTGTTGGAAGAGAGTTTTAAAATGCAATCTGTTCATGGCAATAAATGCAATATATATTTGCTTTCTAAAATGTACAGAAAAGCCAATTTTCCAATCTGACTCTAGCACTCCTGAAATCCGTACTGGCTCGCAAAGGTCAGGCGCAGAAGCCTACTGCCTTCCACAGCAACTGCAAAAGGACAACACACAAGGTGTTACAAGGTGCCGCCGCTGCAGCAGCAAGACACTAACAAAACATCCATTTAAAATGACTGCCATATTTTTCCAGAGGTGTAGCTCTTTCCCCAATACCTAGATGCTAGATTAATGTGCTGTACTAATAGGCATAACATCAGAGCGACTGATACATTTTGCTATCTTGAACAAAGAGGCCACGTACCCTTTTCCTCTCAGGTGCATCCAGTTGTATATAATAACCTAGAAATCGCCCATGAGAGCTAGCAAGAAAAAATTCCAATCTAACACATAAACTCACTGGCAATATATAATTGAGGTGGATGGGCAAAGGAGTGGAAATTTATGGGGGCTGGAAAGGGCTCTGGAATCTTTAAAACATTCGCAAAAGCTGCTGCTTCCTCAACCCACAGAAACGGCTACATTTAACTAAAAATGAACCTCATAATCTTGCATATGAATTTAGTGCTTCCCCTCTCCTTCTTTCATCTTCCAGCCATAAAAATTATAGACAGAGGTCCCTATAAATATGCACAATGCTTTTGATGTTAATACCATGTCATTAATTCCAGTCCTGTTTCTTTTCCATCGCTCGCCACCCCAAATGCAGCAACTACCCAGTTGCCGCGCAATCTTTTGGCAATCTTTTGTAAGTTGTGCACTTTCAAACACTGGATCAGATTGGCTGCCACCAGCTGAGGGAAAGTCAGTGTGAAAAGCCAGCCGCATACAAATCACAGGTTTCAGAAATTTTAGAATAACTGCAGAATATGCTTAGTTCTTTCACACTACAAATTCACTGGTCTTGGGTTTGTATCAGTGAATTGATTCTGCTTGACTAAACAAATAAAACTAGGCACCATATGCTTCGCTGATGCTATAGCAATTAATCCCAAGAAGATGAGTGTTTGGGCAGAATCTGAATCTGGGGTACTTTTTAAATCAGAAACTGCAAAGTAATGATAATCAGTAAAGGAAGAAGATGCCACAGTAGAAACACTGAAACAGAGCGAGTCAGAAGGGGCCTCCCGGGCCATCTAGTCTGACCTCCAGCTGCAGCCGGCTCCACTCACGACATGCCCACCATGTGCATGTCCAGCCTATCCTTGAACACCCGCACCGATGGGGCCTCAATCACCTCCCATGAAAGCCCACTCCATACCCTAGAGTCCTAACTGTCAGGAAGTGCTTCCTGGCATCCAAATGGAACCTTGGCTCCCTGAGCTTGGCTCCGATGGATCGTGTCCTGCCTTCCTCTGAAGGGGAGAACAGGTCTCTACCCATCTCCATGTGACACCCCCTCACATAAGCTTTGCTGATGCTATAGCAATTAATCCCAAGAAGATAAGTGTTTGAGCAAAATCTGAATCTGGGGTACTTTTTAAATCAGAAACTGCAAAGTAATGCTAATCAGTAAAGGAAGAAGATGCCACAGTAGGAAAAGTCACAGAAGCCAAGTGTCGTGAGCAAAATGCTATGCTGGTGCTTAAGCAACCACTGAAACAAACTGGGGAGCAGAATTACAGAGAGGCAGTAGAGAGGAGTAGGTAAGTGCAGCGGAAGGCAGTTCTGGGAAGAAGCTGTTGGCTGGCCTTCTTCTGAGTCACATGAAATATTCTCTTATTTATACAACGGTTCTTGCCTGTTATCCTCCCTTTCCTCTTAAATTCTTCCTCGCTATTAGCATTACTGCGTAAAAGGTGCAATCCTATACACATTTGGACAGAAAAAAATCCTTTAACTGCCAGCAGCCCCCAGCCTTCATGAGAACATTTTCCCTGCCTATAAATGCATAGGATTGTCCCCCCTCTCCAAGATAATCTTAATGTTTGTTTCAAGGTCAAGATATATACTAGAGATCATGGGTCATGATGATATATCTATGTATATAAAAATCTTTAGCCCCTCTATTTCTTGCCAAAACCTCAAAGTACAGTATGCAAATGAATTAGATCATTTTATCTTACAATAAGATAAAAATCTACTTAAAGCAGAATTAAAAAGTAGAAAAGAAACACCAGAAACAATAGAAAACTAAAATGGAAGCATTGAAAAGTCAAAAAATGCCTGGACAAATAAAAGCCTTCATCTGGCAATAAAAGGACATTAAACTAAACATCAGGCAAGCCACTAGAGAGAAGGCATTCCAAAATCAATGGAACATAACCAAAAACCCCCATCTCCAGTCATCACTTTTGTCATCTCCCATACATTTCAATGTACTGCACCAGCTGAAAGAAATCGGTAAAGTCAGCATAATCGGAAGACAAGCCAAAAATCTGGATACCTCGAAAGCCACACTGAGATATACGCTGGAGATAAATCTTACGCCCTTCGTTTAAGAAGCTGACTCCATTTTTCCGTGACGGCTAATGCAGAGGTGCAATAGCGGGCGTGGCGAAGCTGTACACCCAAATACATTGCATCTGGTCTGGGTTCACTGAAATAACCACGTATGGCTCAAGCAGGGTTCCCCACCATGGCAGGGTAGCAGTGACTTTGGAAAGGTTTGCACAGCTCCTGCATAACCACAGGGCGAGAGGACCTCTGCATTAGGAGAACAGACCTGCTCTGCGGCGCTTCTTCCACACTCCCCGCAGCTCAGAACGTGGCGACCCTTCCTGCGCCGTGGCAGGGGGGCTGTGGCTCCCAGTTGAGAAATGGCAACCAACTGAACCGCGCTGGTTGAACATGCAGCTTGGATCCGATCAGCCTGAGATCGCTTGTTCTTCAGAAACAGCAAAAACATCTAGTTCACGAGTGGTTTTGGCAGGTAAGAACGGGACAAACTCTCTCACTTACCTAAGTATGGAATGCAGGGGACCATCTTGAGGCATCTGATGTAATCCCGCATCCTCTTATAGTTGTCTTCCTTGGACATTAAGTAGTCTAGCTTCTCAAAGGTGGTTTTGTCTTTGCGATTCAAAAGCTAGAGAGGAAGAAGGTCAAGTGAAACTATTAACATTTTCAAAAAGGCCTGTTAATACAATACAGTAAAGCATTCTGGGTAGGTCTTAGGTTAAATACTGTTCTGTTTAGACTGGAATAAAAGGGATTATAGCAAACATTTTGAGGAATACTGAAAGAATGCTCTCTCTTCCCTTAACGCTTTCAAAGAACAACATTCAGTCAGCACTATTCTGCCTTAATCAGATTTTGTGTGTTTTACATGTGTCCTACATGTGTCCTACAATGATTTCCTCAGCCGGCCAAGTTCTTTGATGCGAACCAGCACAACTTATGTTTGCTTACACCTTTCCACCACAGCCTGCCTAATCTCAGGCAAATCCTGATCCACACATACATATTCACCCTGGTGCCCAGTGCATTTCTGCCCACCCGAGTCCTGATCTGCTCATGCAAGGTTAAACTCCTTGCCCCCTTCAGCTGGCAGCAGGCTCTTGGTATACCATCTTTTCAGCTGCAGATACCGGGAACTGACCCAGGCAACAGTGAGCTACGCTCCCCTTCTCACACGTGACCCGGCCACCCCATTTTCCCGACGCAGAGACCCAATGGCCCCAGATTCCAGCTTCTTTTTAGCTTAATCTCATTTCAGATGGACAGCTCTACAAGATGACCTGTCGCCCTTAAGGATCTATCAATTGCTAAACCATCAACTGATTCACACGGCCAGAGTCGTCCCTTCAAGCCAACCTGGTAAGTATATTCCACCACAGCAGAGAAAGACAGCTAAGCTGGGAAGCACGTTTGAAATGCGTCATCAGTACTCTGGCGGAAAGGCTGGCAGAAACAAGTGTGCACATACCCCTCCAGGCACATACACACACATGTACCACAGATGCACAATAGCCAGGGAAAACATGCACACCAAAATAAGCAAGCATCAACAGCTAACATACACACTACACCAATTATTACTAGGTGAACTGTGCATTCATGTACAACATGGGTGCCATTAAACTGTGCTGCAAATCGCAGGTACAGGGGAAAGCATTAATACACGCTACCTCCCATTCTAAGCTCCTGATCCAAATTAAGTCCTACCTTTGAGTAAAAATGGAAAAGAATGAAAATGAAAACGTGTGGGGGAAATGTCTGAGCAAAAGGAAAATACTAGCTGCATCTTTCAGGTAACATGCAACCTGATCCTCAGGGAATTTGGGGGTGAGTGGATGGAATGAAGAGGTAAGAGAAGCAGAAGAATCAGTGCCCTGGACTACCTTTCTGAAAGCAGAAATGCACAAATGAGCTAGATGAGCAGAGGAGTGGTTGGTAAGTGCTACTGAGATGCCAGGGATAATGAGTGAGGCTAGCAAAGTTGCCGCTGAGAACCGGACTACCTCTGGTACAGAGGGAAACAATGTAGAGCAAGGAGGATCAGAGTTCATCAACCCAGTAGCATGCCATTGAGACAATCAGGAGGACCAATTAAGTAATGCCCAGCATTCCTGCCATCTGGCCCACAAGCAACACAAACCTCCCTGAGGGTGAAGCCAGGTCCTTTTGGGGAAGGGAGGAGGGAGTTCAGCTTGAAATCAGCTCTTGACATGTGCAAGAGTGAGCTCCACCAATCAGAGAGATCACTACTTTGAGAGATGCTACCTGCTAATAATTTCATTATTATTTACTCTGTATTGCAAAGCCTAGCTCAATGAAGGACTTGATTTTTGAAGCTTTTGGCCTTAAGGTACTGGGAAAGGAAAATGGGGAAGTCATGCTCAAGACATAGTCCCTCTCTCAGTTTTGAATCTCCTATCCTTGCGGAGTTTCAGCCAATATGGGTTAGCCTTAGCTCTGTTTTTTTTATCCACAGGAGGTACACAGGCAGCATGTCTCCTCTCTCTATACATGCACACATACACCCCTTACACAATTTTTCATGTGAAACAGCAGCTCTGTTCCTGGAGCTGATAATAAGCACCCCAGGGCTGGCACCCTGCCTGTCAGGAGCAAGAGAATGGCGTGCGTGCACAAGCAGCTCCCACAGGACACCGGCCAAGTCACAGGTCCTGGTTCAGATTTGGAACATGAAGAATGTCTCAAGAGAGACTGAGGTGGCTGGGTTAGCTCAAGGTCCTGGGATGCAGGAGGAGGAGGAGGAGGGGAAGATTACTTCAAGGCTGGCTACTTTGCTGCACTGAACCATCCCTGGGCACACGGCCACTGGGAGGAGCTGCTGGGGATGCGGAGCTCCCAGAAGTGGCCCAGCCCCTCCTCTCTGGGCTCAACCTCATGGCAAGGTGCTAGCGGAGACAAGAAGCCCAGCAAGCAGAGAGGAAGCGCGCTCGCTTTCAGAGAGTCCCTCCCGAAGGGTCGGGGCCTAGGCATGTTCATATGGAAAATTTTGGAAAGCCCTCACTAGACTGGGTTCAACAAAGCACTTTATGCATGCTCAGAGACCCCTCTGGGTGATTTGCATTTAGAGGCCATAAAGAGAGTTTGGCAAGGGAAAGGGTCAGGGCTTTGTCTGCTTGAAGGAGGAACCTTGGCTCGCAGCAGCACCTGAGAAATGGCAAAGGAAGGGCACCGGGGGGGGGGGGGGATTCTATGCACGGAGTTAACGATATGCTACTCTTGCCGTGTCTGGTGTGATGCACATCAAGTTTCCCTGGCTTCGCTTCACTCATTCCCCTTGTCAGAGTGTTTTGTACAGTTTTGGAAATTAAGAAATGTAGATTCCTTGAGAGCAGCTGCAAGTGACTAAGCCTATCACACACACGGCCAATCTAAGCCTTTGAAATGTTGTTTTCGGTCTTGAACTTGGTTACACACATACTAAAGGTATGTGAAAAATTCCATGTGCTCCTAGTTAAGCAATGACACACAGATAAATGGACTGCAGGATAATGAGTTTGGATTTAACTGAGCTGGAACGAAAAGACCGTCTGCTTGGGGTCGACTATGTCTTCCAAGCACCCACTGGCAACACGTCGTATTTTGCTGCAGTGAAGCTGCAAGTCGCTGGAGAACTTGCTTGGCATTGTACCCGTTATCAGAATCACAATATTTCACCAAGCGCACAAGAAGTCGCTCTTGCTACTGATGTGCTCTCAAGGAGTCTCCAGCTTATGGTGATCCGATGCCCTGCTCAGCTGCTGTCAACTCGGGGCTGTGGCTTCCCTTCGTGGGATCAGTCCATCTCGTGCGAGGGCTTTCCCTTCTTCTTCTGCCTCCAACTCTCCCTAGCGTTCTTGTCTTCTCCAGTGAGCCTGAGCTTCTCGCCAGCTGCCAAAGTGCAACAGCCTCAATTCATCACGTCCGCCTCCAAGGCCGGTTCTGGCTTGGTTTGATGGAAGACCCACACGTTCCTCTTTCTACTGGCCTGGTTTCAGCTCCATGTTTTGAATGCATCTTCTTCCTTGCTGTCAACTTTCTTCATTGTTCAGCTCTCCCACTACTTAGCGCTCAGAAATACAACAGCGTGGATGATCTAGGTTTTAGTCTCCAGTGAAATGTCCTTACACTTATTTTTCCTACTTCTTCATTACTACCCTTTCAAGTCTCTAAATTAATTGTTTTCTAATTTGTTGCTGTGCTCTCCCTTTGAATTGATGGTTGAACTAAGGTATAAAAAAATCTTTGATCATTCCGATGTCTTCACTGTTGCCATTCAAGTTGTGCAATTCTTTTGTAATAATGATTTTTGTTTTCTTACTATTGGCCTGCACTACTGCTTTAGCGCTTTTTTCTTTTACTCTCCTTCAGAGTTGTTTCAGTTCCTGCCGCTTTTTGACAGTAGCATGGTAACATCTGCATATCTGAAATTATTGATGAGTCTTCTACCAATTTTCACTCCTTCCTTTGATCGTAATCCCACTTTCTTTATGTTGTCGTTGTCGTCATCGTCATCATCATCATCTAAATAAAGCTTGAACAGGCAGGAGATAAAAACACCCTTATCTGAAGCTCTGCCCACAAGAAACCATCACATTGCTCAAAATTACGTCCTAACAGTCGCTTCTTGTCCGTGATCCAGGTTATAAGCACATCTTTCCCAGTTCTTTCAAGACCATCCATAGTTTCTCGTGACCCACACACAGACCGAGTCTTTGCTGTAGTTTATAAAACAGACTGAAATTCCAAATTTCTTTGGTGCACTTTTGTAGCTGATGTGTATTTCAAGTGCCTCTTCCCTTTCAGAATCCAAGTTGGAATAGTTGTGTTGGTGCTAGCTACCCTGGAAACTTTGTTCCTTTCAGGGGCTTTCACTCCACTTTCTAATATTGCAGTTCCTCTTCAACGGAATCTATCACGTTTGACGTGAACTAAGCTTTTTCCGATATACAAACAGCAGGCACTCAGAATACGGCAAGTCACCCCTGTGTTCTACGCCGAACAAAACGTTTTGCCACAAAATGTGAAATAACACATCCTCAGCGCTTCAAGATTACAGGATACTCAATTTTCCAGCAAACAGGAACAGGGCATCAAAAGGATGGGGCTCGCATCTCAAACCTGCCCTCCAGAACAACTCGAATGAGAGCGTTAGATGAAGCGGGCAATTGCATAAGCAGACCTTGCACAGGATGAACAGAGGAAATATCGCAGCTTTCTCACCTTACACTGAGGACAAAATGACACCAGAGACTTAAATCAGTTTACCAGTCATCCTCTCTACCCTGTAAGTCTGGGAATCGTAGTTCCACAAGGCAAAGACCATAGGGATTGCGAACCAAGAATTTTCAGTACAAGACAAATAATTTCTTGGAAAAAAGCTGTAATGGTAAAAAACAAGCAAACACGCCCCCCATCCCCCCAAAGCATCAGTCTATATCTGGAGCGTATGCCAAACCAGAACGATAAGCCCTTTCCTACAGCCTTCCTCTGGCACCTACGCAATGCAACTGATGAGTTAAGCATGCCGACACAGCTGGACTCTAACCTGGGTGGTTTCAGGAGGAGTGATGTGCTTACACAACGGGGAAAAGCACATCTGGAACCGGCTGCCAAAAGCCTTGTGAAGGA